CCCCCCCCCCGGTTCGTAAGTAAACAGCACCTGTTAGCATAGATGGTTATGTAAGATTTTTAAAAACAGTATTTTAAGCTTATCTTGTGTTGCTGTTGGTTCCTTCACAGGAAGCCCTCCATCAAAAGTATACGGAAACATGAGAGCAGTGGCGAGCAGAACGGCCGAGAGATTTTGAAGAGACCGGGCGGAGATGGAGGGAAGTGATACAGGAGAGCAAGAATGAAGTCAGATCCGCAACGAGGAATTGTGATGTCTGTGATGATAAATTCGTGGCAAATACAGAAATGTTTTGATCTGATACAGCGTGGCGACGGATTACAAACAACATTTTTATCACTAACACTTACAAACTTGCAAAGGATCAAAAGCACGATCAAACGAAGACAAGGAAAATTTTAATTTATTGGAATGGAAAACTTCCAGTGAAAAAACCAGGATTTAGAAGAAATTGCAACCCAAAACTAATAGGAATCAACTGAACATTTTTTACACAAATTTGTATAGTCACAAAAAATTGCAAACGGTTGCTTAAAACTTGCTAGAAAATTGTACGTACAGATATATTGTCTGATGTAGTCCATGCGTTTTACCGCTATTAAACGAAAAAAATAAAGATTTATCTTGGAAGCAAAATGCAATAAACCACAGAACAATCTCATAAGCAAAATAGAGGAGTACTGTTTTATCCATTTCTCATTGGTTAGTCTGTCCACAGCCGTTTACGTTTTTGGTGCGAGTTGTTTTTCTACGAGCAGGCGAGAGCAGCCGCGAAGTGGGCGCAAGATGTTTCCCCAGCCCCACCCCCTGGCGTTTTAACGTATGTATTTATTTTACTAAGTTCGCGATCTCGACGAACTAAAGACAAAATAGCTAAATAGGTAAAGCTTCCTAGTGTGTCGAGCCTTCCTGACAGTGTCAGACCATTTTTGGTTCCCTTGAAATGTTCAAACTTCTGAAGGAAAACAAAAGATGGAAAGGCAAAGTAGACGGTAATAATATGGTTAACGGGTTGTATGGAGTACCCTTCCGTGTTCAATTCGCATTTATTCAAGTGTTCATGGTCTTGATTTTTGTACAGTCGTATGCACAGGAATACTCATTCGAAACTCCAGGTAGCAGGAATGTTTTAATCTCGTTAACGGCTTTGCTTTTGCAGGGCACAGTGTAGAAGCTCTTCAAAACACCTACATTCGCGAGTTGAGAACCCGAGTTGGGTGGGAGTATCGCCACATGTGGGCAGGGTGGGTGTGTGCGGCCCAAAAGGATGTTTTTTTTAGCAGTTTTGGTCAGAAATAGGGCATCGATTTTGGCCATTTTGTTCCCAAATAGGGTATGGATTTTGCACTCTAGTCTTGAACTGGGTATGTTTTTTAGAAGAAGCTACTTTTTCATCATTATCGATAAGACCGTCGACAAAAGCCTTTCACAATGTCTTTCACATCGGTCTGAACTCGGGAGCTAATTATAGGGCAGTTCAGAAACGGGGAAACAGTGTAGGAGAATCGCAGCTATAGTATATTTTAAATGTTCAATTCAGTTGTTTGCGCTTAAAACTGCATCATAAATTTCTGCATTGCGAGGCATTGCAACTTAAAGAATAAAACCAAACTTCAAAGTTAACATGTGCGTTTATTTTCTCAGATTTTCTATCAAGACATACATATGCGATATCAATAAATACAATTAATCTTTTTTGTCCACTTATACAAAATCTCCATAAAAATTTATTACTTTTTGATTGCTGGTAAAATCTTTATACAAAAGGCAAATATTTCCTTGATAAAAATGGTAGAAATTGGTTCTGTTCAGCTGAATTTTGATGACTATACGGCCAGCAGAAATGATTAAGAAAACTTCAGTACTTTTTTCTTTTTCTTTTTCTTTTTTCATGCAACCTGCTTTGTTACCGATAGCGAAAAGAATGGTCAACTCCGTATTGGCATTTTTCAGTTGTGGAAAGTGAAAATCACGCCAGCGTGAAAGAAAAGAAAACTTGAGGTGTATCTGGCAGCATTTAGCATGTTCTTTTTGGTAGACACTACCCAGGAAGAAATTTGAAAACCCGGCTTTATTGCTTACGGTTAGGATTACCGTCATGAAAACGGAGCTTTTCGAAAACGCTCTTCAAACCGGAGGGATTTGCAAACGACGGCTTTGCGTTTTCGTATGGACGGAAAATTTTTTTTGGAGCTTTTCGAAAACGAAAACGTCACGATAATCATGTGATAAACCCTAACTCTCGAGCGTTTCTGCTGCCGGTGATTGTTGCGTTTTCAAATTTCTTCGATCCAGGTAGCGTGGACAGAAAGCATTTAATTCGTTTTCAGAGTGCATGAAAACGCTGTTTTCAGATTTCTCCGGCGTTGTGTGCACGGGGCGTAAGACTGAAAAATGAATATGAAACGATTGTTTTTGTCATTAAATAATTTGACAAAATTTGAAGTTGTGGATACCAGTGAAAGATCTCCACAACCTCATACTAATTTTCCAGTTAAATAAACTAAATATCTTCTAGGTTTTAAGCTTCTCCTCTAATTTTGACTATTTACAATAAAGCGGAGTGTTTGCCCCACCTAGCTAGACAGTGTAAATTCTAAACTTGGTGAAACTCTAACCAAGCCATAACAGTAGATCGCCGTTTTTGGAGCTCAAGGTGTTGCGTGACGTCATTGATAGCACCTGTTAGGACACCTGACACAATTTGTCCATGCCTGACCGCTGCCTAAATCCGCGGTTTAATAAAAACAATGCAATGTTTCTCAGTGATTAGAAGTCCCGCTAACGCGGAACTGAAACAGCTGTAACCATAAATAAACTAAAATTCGTACAAGTCCAGTCAAGCGGACAAAACGTAAAAAAATTCATCTCATGATTATTTCGGTTTTGTTGAGTGCATGCGTTCTTTTGTGAAGTAAAAAACATCCTTGATCGTGGGCCGCAACCTAGGCTCGGGTATTAAACAAGACATGATTAGATACCCAAGGTCGGGGCTGTATAAGTTCTCTGCCTCTTGTAGTCTTGCCGGAGGGACCCCATTGACAACATTATTCAAGGTTTCAAAAATATTTTCACCCTGGTGCAAAGGAAAAGCAGGTTCCAGAAATGCCAACTCGTAGGCCACGCAGCCGAGCGACCATGAATCCTGTTTGTTCGAGTGTTTCTGTCCCCGTATCCTCTCCGGGGCAACGTAAATTCCATAGAAGGAATCTTTGCCGTCCACACAGACGTTCAGCTCTGTTTCGCTGGGCGTATAAATTAACAGATTGTGCAGCAAAATATCTCCCGTTTTTGAGAGGGACAAAGTTTTGGTTTGGATCTCCGCGTGCACCATCTGCCGCCTCTGTAAATACCACAAAACATCGCAGATTTGATGAAGCATTTTCCACAAAAGCCATTCCGAGAATTTAACACCTGCTTTGCGATATTCTTGCACTAGTTCGTAAAGACTCTTTGGAAATGGCTCCAATACCACAGCTACGGTTTCTTGCTCTCTGAACCACAACAACAGCTTCATTATGTTCTTGTGATTTATATCTGCCCATTTGTCCAACAGACGCGAAACAGTCGTGGAAGTACAAGCTTTGACGTTTATGCACTTCAAAAGAACCTTAGAATCGTCCAGCAAGCTGCAGGCTGGATAAATACAGTGAATTCGCATATCTCTGGGGAGATTTAAGCTCTGCATCTCAAACTCTCGAAAGCTGAAATCCGATGTCAAAAAGTCAATTAAATTTCGCGGCAAAGGAAGATCTTTTCGCGCTCTCCGTAGTCGATGTAATCCTGTGTTCCTTATAATCACAGCCCTGCAAAGTTTTCGGAGGCTCGTCGTTTTAGGTTTCGGTATCCGCATTTTTCGCTTTGAGCTCTCCGCTTCAGTTCCCGAACTCATGGAAGAATCATTAATTGTGTGTGTACTTC